TTGCTTCAAAATTATCCAATTTCTGAAGCGATGTTGATAAGATAAAACGTTTAAATGACATTAAATTACATTTTTTTACAATACAGAGAATTTATTCTACGCACTGTTTCCAAGATTTTAGATAACTCCCGTAATTTACTTTTAACTCCTGAAACTTTTTCTTGTTTAAATAAAAAAAACATTTGAAATGTCACTTTTATGTTTTCAGATGTAGTTGAAGATGGTGATGAAGTAAGATAAAATGTTCCACAACTCCGACTACACTTAGTCATAAACATAATACACAATAACATCATAATTAATAATAAACAACGACTCATATAAATCAAAACAAACGATCCCGAAAAAATAAACAATTCTCATTTCCCTGTTCCTCGTTTCTCCCTCGAAAGTGTGCCATCGAATCGCATCCAAAACCAATTACCATCGTCTATTATTAAAAAATCCCCACGACCATAAACGCGGAATTTAATTAATTTCCTTTTAACGCCAAAATAGAATATTATTAAATCCGATAGCAATAATTTACGACTTGCATCTTATTAAAATCCCGTGCAAAAGCTCCCCTTTCCCGTTTCATTAGTGAACGAGTTCAACGTACATTATTTTCTATTTCAGTACGCGAATAAACAGATTATAAGGACAGGTGTTTGACAGATGGCAATAGAGCACATCCGAGGCATACGACACTCCTTTTATGCCACCACCTGCCGGGTGTTAAAATTGCAACAACTGCAACAGAAAACACATCTTGACTTCACGCTCGATTTGCCGATAAAAAGGCGAAAAAGTGACACATTTTTCGAGCCGTGGGTCATGATCAAATCAAAGTTAATACGAGGCCGTCGAGATTATAAATTTTTTTCATCGGTGCATTGACCAGGACGACGTAGGTGGTTCCATTCATAAAAAATACCATTTTCCAAAAACCACAAGCGCGGCGTACGTCGTAACCCACTTTCTTCGTCAATCGATACGGCAGCTTCCTCGTCGCAAAACGAACAATCGAGTGTCCTTTCGAAATCCGAAATTACATCAAATGGGTTTTAAAGAAATGAATAATTTAAATTCGAAAACTCTTCAAAGTTCAACGAATCTCGGCCGTTATTGACCAAGGTGTGCACTCGCCGAATAATCGGCAATGGGGCCCCAGAATTAGGAGCCCGTGTTTAGGCCGTTGCCCAAAACGTTGACCTCGTCGTTGGAATACAAACAACGCAATTCTTTGAGTTTTCTCACCTTGACATAGGTGGGAAAATCGTACGAATCTCGAATCGAGGGATTTTCCGACGACAACACACTCCATGAAAAGTGATTTTTTCGACACAATAGAGTCACGTGACGTGTGTTTACTAGTTTTTAAAGGTGCCAGGCGGATTCGTGTCGCAGAAAGTAATAAAATCATACAGTTTCGAAAAGTGGTGCAAGCTTTTCAGGGGAAAGTGGATGAGTAACATGAGTTAATTGAGAGGATACCAATATTTTGATGGTTATTCATTGGAAATTCACCCAAAATATATCAAAAAAAGTTATTTATCTGAGAAAATAGAGAACGACAAAAAACAAGACAAACAATATAAAGATACAAGTATTTTTACGCAGTCAAATTAGAACACTTTTAATAGAATTTTATTAAAAAGAATATGGTTTTATAAAATATCCTTTTATAAAAGAAGTAATATTCGTTTCATTTGCGTCTATTAATTTTTAAAGTAATTTGAACGTCACTTCTGAAATAATCTCGTCTTTATAATAATCTTACTGCTATTGAAAAAAATTACATAATACGAAGTTGAATATATTTTTAATACCTACGTTTCTCTTCAAACAAATTCAGGTCTAATACCATTTAAAAACATCAATTTAGACGCTCATTACATAAGAAAGTATTCATACATTTATTCATCAGTTCTCTTTCGTATTCATTTCTATATTTTTCCGTTTATTGCACATCAAAATACCTGATTTGTTTAGATTTTTTTTTGTGTATGATTTATCGGCCCGACAGAATGGAGTAAACTAATCTTGTGGTAGATTTTTTTGAAAAGGTCCATGAACAGCAGGAAGACGCGCGAAGAACGGTCCTGACGAAGTACCGAGGAACAGATCGGGAGTACAAAAGGGAAAGCTTTTGGATTTCGTATTTAAAATTCTTTTCAAATTAACAATAAGAGGTTATTGCATGACGAAAGTGGTTATTGTAGGTACGATAAAAATGGTTACTTATCGCATTTCAAAATAGGTCTTTTACACCAGAAAACGACAAAAAAATTCTTGTATGAGACAATACACACCCCAAAATATCGGTCTTGTGTATGTGTGTATGTATATTCAACAATGAGAAGAAAAAAAATATTTCTTAAAAAGCAAAAATTAGATTGAATTGTAAAGCTCTTTCCGTTTGAAAAAGAATTTCCTAAAAATAGTTCAGAGATTTTTATGAACATCAAAATAATATTTTTATACTTATAAGGTAAAATATTTGTCTGCATATTGAATTTACAGTTTTATTTATAGTTTTTTAATATTCATGATACGTTTTAGCATAAAGAACTTTAACCTTTTTGTTAACACTTATAAAAAAGAAAACACAATAAAATTTTTATAAAGACGTTTTTCAAGTTAATAACTGTTTTTTTAACAAATTACAAAAGACTAATTGTAATTAACAAAAATTCTTTTATTTGAGCTATTATCGTCTATTGTATTGGCACTTTGTCAATATGAACTTGGCAAACGGATCGAAAAATTTCGAGTAATTTTCACTTTTCAAAAATCTTTAACAAAAACCTCCTTGCCTCTAAACTTGTACCCATTCCCACGCTTCCACTGACGTCACAATACCACTTACGTGCGTCATTTTTCCCCCAATTTCGCTGCTGAATGAATTTACTACTTGTATATCCATTAATATAACATTTATTTGTTATTCATGTAACAGTCAATAAATACAAAAGTCTCATCACAATAAATTCCGTTCGAGTCTCGATTCTGCTCTCGATTCTTGTCACGCGATGTTTTGTCCAATTGTTATTGGAAAGACAGAGCTTTTGTCTAGTTTTCAAAACACTTCCCTCGAGTTTATCAATTTAAGATAGAACTTTCTTACGTAATATTGCGCAACATGCAATTAAGAGGTAGTTTTTCTCACCTGTCGATTAATAAAGGGCGTGAATAATTACGAGAATTGTGATACGTAGAAAGTMGGGAAATCGATAGGTGGTGGCATTAAAACCACCACAGTAATGAAATAATAAGAAACTTGACCTGTTTTCCAACTGGCTTATTTGAATTCTTCATGCAAATCGATCCAGGAGAACTCTAATTTCAAAGTTTTTGAAAAATTCTCGCACCCATACTGCGCTAATTACGACCTATAAAGTAGCAACCCTTGAAATGTTTTACCGAGGACCATAAATATACCCATAGACAGTTAACTGCCGCACTTGGAATTGATGCAAGTCGTTACATAATATTCCACGTTTTATTATTACCGACTGCAATAAAATTAATTAGATCATTCCAATTTTATGTTTATTCTGACGGTCGTCAGAATTTTTAATTCGCACTTTAATTGGGAAAAAACTTGAGAAAATTCCTCAGTTTTGTTGATTCAAGAAATTTACGTCAAACTACGCAACACCCACTTCATGCATTTTTAATTAATCATAAACCACACATAAGACAATTCCATCAAATCTTCCCTCTGTTTGATAATTATTCATAAAGGTCGGACCAAGGATCCAACCCATTTTAATTGAAATTGGATCTAATTGAAAATTAGTTACTCCATTTTTATTAATTTGTCACCCTTCATATTTTTACCTGTCAGTCATGGTGTATTGACGCACTGGAAAACAAATTAAACATGAATTACCCTTGAATCTAAAACACGCATTTCATCCATAATTATAGTGGAATTTAAAATCGATTTAGAAATACATATTTCTACAGTGTTGGCCATCCTGAAACCAAAGCTAACTGTGACAAATTTCGGCAACAAAATTTACGCAACGTCACGTCCTGTTATGTGCGATTTATTTATTTACACAACAAAAAATTGTTTATTTATTAACAACTTATTATTTGTTTAAGGTGATGTAACATGGCGTTTCATATACCACTTGATCAAAGTTTGGCACACCTAGGCGACTTTTGAAAATCAACACGGCCTTGATAAAATGACATAAATGACGGAATTCCTGATACGAATTAATCGGAAATGAATAACTAACTTTCTTTTAAATGTCATTAACTAAAAAAGCGATAGTTACATATTAATCGACTTTTTTCTTGCAAAATTTAGATTGGTCAAGGTAAATGTGTTAGCAATAAGTAATATGAAACTTTTACCTACTTTTATTACCAAAAAGATTCTTGTAAGTCAGGCCTGCCTAAACGCTGCCTCCTCGCTGATTTTAGCAATTTTCAGTGATTCTAGCTGATTTTTTTTTATTGTGACACTTCCGTAATGGATGACATTTGTATTTTGTTTCCAAGTAGTACCAATTTTCACGTAATACACTTATCGTAACAAACTGCACGCAATCCGGCCCTGTCTAACGCCACCCCCCGACTGTCACTGTGACTTTATATTATTTACACAATTTTCAGGCATTTTCATCTCACTCTACCACAAACACCAATGACATTTGTGTTTTGTTATTTGAATAGTGCCAATTTGTGAAATTACCTATTGGATGTCCCACCAAAACGAATTGTTTGCAATCCAACCCTTTTTACATTTCACTGGATTTTTATTTTTTTTCTAAGGTTCCAGACATTTTCGAAAATGTCTGTTTTGTTTTTTAAATCGTACCTCCTTTAGCACATTTCGCTAAACCCATTTGACTCGCCCCATAGTGGGGCCTTTCTATCCGCGTAAGTCCCCAAAATCGATCATTTGACACAGATAGAACATTTCAGCAATGTAAACATAGAAAGTGGCTCATGCAAAAACCTGATCACGTGCGTGAAAAAACCTAAAAATAAACACTCACTGTTATGCCTCGTGAGGGCTCCGAAATCCATTTTAGCCGCCCCTGGAGACACCCTAGCCCTTTGCACAGCTGTGGCAGCGATTAAAACAGAACAAACACGTGTCCACAGTTCCCCGAGAATATTACTAAAAAATCCACTAGGGGTGCTAAACCCGAAATTAGCTAACGTCTAGGATCTAGTTATAGCCTGGAAAACAAACGAATGTTTTATGGCGCGAAATCTAAACTGGGAATTACACCCAAACACTAACAACGCCGATTTCAGACTGGAGAACAGAAAAATAAACGGTAAACACTTACAAGCCGTAAGACGCATGCTCGTAGTAAAAGCCTCCTCTCGCTCTGCTACGAGCGTGCCCCGGGCAGGGAGGCAGTTCATTGGCTGGACGTTGGGTTGAAAAATTTTGTTACGTCATCTGGTCGAAGACGTGTGGGTGCACACGTGGGGGCTGCAGCGAAATTGGGCTAGCGGTTCAGGTGCAAGGCCGGGAAACGCCTCGCTGTAGGGCCGTGCAAAAAATGCCTTATCGAGTTATCGACTATTTTTGTTCCACCGTAATTTGTTGTTTTTCGGATTACCTACTCTCCAGTAACTTCGTTATCGTTTATCTGCCGTAATAAATTTGATGCTTTTTACGTAAAATTACAAATCATGATGAGAATCAACTCGTGGACTGTTTTCAATGCCAATGTCAGACGCGAGATAAACACTTTTTATTCAGTTTTTAAATTGGAACTTTTGTACAAACATTTAAAAACCAGAGATTTGTGTAAAAGTCTATTTAAAAAAAAACAATTAAATAAAAAATAAACTGGACTTACAAAAAGTTTAAAATGGTGTATTTAAACATTAACACTACTTCAGTGCTTATAAAACATACTTAGCACTAAAATACATAATAAATAAGTGAATCTTTGGTTACTTTATTGCACTACCAGTTATCTAAGAAGTCAAGTCCTGTTTTTGGCAACGTATTCCCACTCGACTCTTTCTCTGRSTTATCTTCTGGACCCTGAAACATTTCAACGATTTTCTGCAAAAAAAAATATAAGTAAACGCGACTTTTGGCCGATAAATACAACCTTCTTGGGTTTATGTTTGACAATAGGTTTGGGCTTGTCGTCAGCATCAAATAGTGTCAAATTTCTCTGACTCCGTGTCTTAAAACTAAAAGGTCCTGAGTGTTCATCCTGATATGTACAATGGTCATCTATTATCAGTTTGACGGCATATTCGTTAACACTTTCCTCAGTTTCGTTCTGGTTGTACTTGAGTAACACTTCCGGTGTTATAATACTTTCAGACAATATTTGTTTTTGTTCTTTTTCCGAAATTGTCTCCCACAAGTCCTCATACGCAGATTTGGTCTCCTTCATATCGGCATAAATGCGACGTGCCATAGGATTCAATTCGCTGAAGTACTCTTCGGCTATTTGTTCGAGAGCCATCACAAAATCATAAAAAATTCACTGCTTTTACTTTTTAGATGAATTTGTTTATTGTTTACGTTTGATAACCTCGCCCATTTCAAGTTTCCACCAACGTAACAAACCCAAATTTACCAACTTTCGCCATTTTAAACTAGTAATTTTCGCTTCTGGGGATTGTGGTTTTTGTCAAGTGTCATGTTTGGGGTTATCTGGAAGTGATCATTTTTCTATAAATAATGCCAAAAGTGGTGTCTCGCAGCATAGCATGTTCCGACACTAAAGATCAAGAAGAATACGGCGATGAGAAACCTCTCCACATTTATTATTGCTTGTGCGGCCAAATGACTCTAATTTTAGGTTAGATGCAAATCTTTCGTGTTATTTTTTAACCTTATTTTTACAGATTGTTCAATAGAGAGGCTTCCTTTACGTAAGAGGGACGGCGCACGTGTCCTCGATGGGACAAACCATGCACATAAAATAACCTGTGATAATGACGAAACTGTACACATAAAAAGACCTGAAGGGATAGAAAGACAGTACAGACTGAAATGTAAGAAATGCGGACTTCTTTTATATTACAAGCACGAGCCCCAAAGTCCAATCAGTTTCATAGTTAAAGGGTCTCTAATTAAATCAACAAATGAGGGACCAATTAATGATATTTATAACCAAGTGGCTGTAGAGAAACCGAAGAAGATAATGGTTACTAAACACACAAAAAATATGGGGAAATTCAGTTCTGTCACTGTGTCTACAATTGATGAAGAAGAGGACGAAATTGAAGCCGTAATTATTTTTTTTTACCGATCTCTTTAATTTTATGATTTTTTGTTTCTGTAGAGAGAAGTGGCTGATAGTTACGCCAACAACGCCCGCATTATTGAGAAACAATTAGAACGCAAAGGCATGAACAAACGCAAGTTTGACTCGACCAAAACCCAGGACATGAAAAAAATCCGCGGCACGTTAATAGACAAATAATAAACTTTATTGTGAACATTCTTAAATATATTACATTTCTTACGAGATTTAAGTTAGAATAATAAAAAATTTAGACTAGTCAACGGTTTGACAATAAAGGCGTTGTTTCTTGGGCAGTATTCCGCACTCTATTCTCAGTCCTATTACTATGTATACTATGCAAGTAAGTCGCGTTTAAAGCCATATCCCTTATACTAATGGGTGAGATCCCCTCGTTCGTCCACATGCGACTCGTGTGATACTCGGCACTCCTTCGTAACATCACACTGGCCCCCAATGCTCCGTCCGAACACGGTTCCCCGATCCTCCACGCCCCTAAACTCTCATCCATTCTGGTCGGATCCTGATTACTCAGCGACGCGATCATGCTGCTTTGATTCTGCACGTTTTTCACGAAGGCTTGCACGCTGTCCGGGGGTTTCCAGCTCGGATTCGTGCACTTGAAATGCACCAAACTCAGTTCGACTTTGCCGTCCTCGCACTGCGAGTACTGGTCCGGCACGGAGATCTCCTCCTCGTGCCACTCCGGGTTTCCGTGTTTGCGTACGTCCATTTGGGCGAAACTGCACACATCGCCCACCCCGACCACGGACACTGTGAAGTTCCGGAAAAAGTCGACGATTTCGATGGCACGGGGGTAGATATGCCGCCAGAGGATATAGGGGGTGAGCAAAGGTGAAAGAATCGTTTCTAATAGACTGACAAAGCCGTATTGGAACAACTGTTCGAATTCTTTGCGCACGCGGGCCGTATGGGCTTGTCCGACCCAATCCGTGGGTAAGTAATGGGTGTGCAAGACGACTTTTGTTAGTAAATCTTCTAAGTCACTTGAGGTGGTTTCATCCGGGGCTAAGGACCGCAAAACGGCCACAGCGACTGTTAGAAAAGTCATAATTGTCAAGACATGTTCCACTGTTAAAACATCCTCATCGATGATGGACAGTCCGACTAAAACAGCCAAGAATGAGGTGGCATAAAACCCGATATTTTCCGAAATGATCGTCCCCAGAGGGGATGTAAAAGCTGCCAGGTATTTGGAGGCCGGACGATGGGCCCGAGTCAACCTCGCTTGTAACTCATGCTCGAGCTCGTTGAAGTGTCTCAAATAGAGTCGGCCATAGAGCGACCACCGTCTCACTGCCAACAAACTCGGTTCTTTGCGTATAATAGCTGCGTAACTGAAAAACGCGTACAAAATCTGCCACAGGAATATAATTGGGGCAAAAACGAGATTCGCTAAAGCCAACCAGAGGATGTGTTTGCCGAACTGATTTGCCAAGTCGTGTCTCAAATTCGGTTTTTTGTACTCTTCGCGTAGGTGCCACGGATGTTCGAAGGGCGACCACGGCGACCAGAAAAATAACAACTGGATATTGAGTCTCAACCCCGACGTCCAATACACAACTTCGCCCAAAAATGGCACTTTGAGCCTTGGCGGAAGCAATCTTTTATTAACCATAGCGACGAGGTAATTCTGTTGGCGCAAAATCCGGTGGTAGATGTCCAATTCTGACAGTTCCCGTTTGTGGATGCACATCTGTTGCTCGATCTGGACTGTTCGCACCTTCGTTTGGACTTCGTGCCAAGTCAAGTTGTCCAATTCCCCATCTTCGATTTTCAAAGCCGTGTTGTAGAACTGCTTGATGTCCCAGAAGTGGAAAAAGTGGTAGACTCCTCGAATGAGTTTGAGGATCCAAACTATTATGGCGATGATGAGTGCGATCCAAGTCAGGGCACTGAAATTCGAGACGCATTCGCCGAACGGTAGGACCACGTCGTGGAGAGTGACTTTGGTGGCGTTGGTTGGTGGAGGAACGTCTTTGAAGAGGACAGGGTAGTTAATTCCATGGAAAACATAAGCGGTGAGGACGACGATGAAGACGAATTGGATGAGTTCGAGGACTTCCTGGAGGAGCATACAGTACAAGCCGTGACGTTGGTGGTATTGGTACATGCGAGAGAAAAACGAGTCGAGATCTTCAATGTGGTTCCAACGGGCGCGGGACGGCTCGGCGACGTGCACAAGAACGCCGCCTTCCTCGTCCGGCTCGTGGGTCTCTTGGAGGGAGGCGTAGTTTTGCATGTTAGCTTTCTAAAAAAGCAAAATTTAATTTGAGTAATTGCTATAAAACTAGTAAACGTATTGTTTGATAAATTTTATGTATAAAATAATATATCGACAACAGATGAAATTCTGTCTTTATTAAAAGCATAGGAAAATCCTCGATGCATTTGATAAATTTTGAATTTTTGCTTCGAAACTCGAGACAATACGAAGACATGCATAATTAAACGCTTGCATAATAACAGGTACACTATGTTTATTAAATAACCAATAAATTCGATTGTTTTTTATGACCAACTACATTAATAAAATTGCAAAGAATTTAATTGTTATTAGGATTATTCAAGCATTTCTATTACAATTTCTTTACCATGTAGAAATATAAATGAGAATAAGGTATAAAATAAATAATAAGTAGTGTGTTTACTTTATTATTGTCTACGGATAAAAGATAATAAACATTTAATAAACCAGCTCATTTTTGTTTTTTATTAATAAATGTTATCAAAGTCAAATGAATAAAGGTGTAGATCAATACAAAAAAGTTAAAACAATCTGGATGACAGACGAGAAATAAAAATGACACTAATAAAAGTTATTGCTATTCTGATTTACCATTTGCATAAGAATGAAACTGTTATAAATAAATCAAAGTTACCTCTGCTATTCATGGCAAACTGTGACAAAAATAAACCACCTGCCACGAGTTTTTCGGTTAAAATCTGCTGCAATTTTTCATTTTATATTAATTTTTGGAGTATAATTTTTGTTTGCATCTAAATGAATTCAAATGAAAAGATAAAAATCTTCCTGTCAGCATTCATTTCGTGTTTTTCACATGATACTTTATCAGCTGGAGAGCAAATCAAACAATGCACTTCCTAAAATAAATATTTTTAATTTAGGCGCCCCCCAACCTTCCGTCGTCTGTCAAAATTAACAACAAAAAAAACTTCGTAACCTTCCAAGGTTTGTTGTTACACAACACAAAACAGCTGATATCAACTTAAAGAAGAAAATCCTTTGTGGCCACACACCAAACAATCTGATACCCAAAAACGGTGCAAATTTCGCATTTGATAAAAATAGAGCGAATGCTATTTATGAACAAAACAAAGGGAATTACGTACCGATCATCTTCTTCGAAAATTTTGGAGAATCACTTGGAATTTAGCCGATGGCAGGAGGAAAAACACGCGACTAATTCATTAGGAAAGAACAAGATTTAGTACAAACGCAAATTTAGGACTGTTTGTGTATGCTACACTACACAATTTTTTTCACATCATCCTCGAACACAGAGAATTTTGAACGTAAATCTGCGATAGAAGAAAATTGACAGTTCTGACGATTGGCGGCCGTGACTAGTGATATTTCACAAAAGTCACAAAACTCAGTCGGTAAAAAGCATCGCCGTCTTGATAGAAATAAATCTTAACTTGCACTTAAGATCAATTAATTAATTAATTAAGTTGAAGCAATTAAGACTTTTTCAATAAAATATCTGTTATTTATAATTAACTACGAATAACGCTTTTATGTAGTTTTAACAACATTTAAAAATAACTAAAATAAACTAATCAGACACAAAAGTGGATTGGTAGCATTGCACGAACTGTCAACGTCATTGTATTTTGTGGTTATGGTAAATTTTTGGGGTGCCACGTAATTTTGTTCTCAAACACAATTATGGGGAACTCTACCAGCGTTGATATTCCTGGAGGAGGTACAGAGGGTTATCACGTGTTAAGGGTAAAAAAACCGCAAAGTTTTGTGAGTGTTTCAATGGATTATCGCGTGTTCCAGGTGCAAGAAAATTCGCCCGGTAGTAAGGCAGGTTTAGAGGCTTTTTTTGACTTTATTGTTGCAATAAATGGTACTCGTTTAGATCAAGATAATGACACTCTTAAGCAAATATTGAAAAACGGAATTGGTAATAATTTATAACTTGAAACCTGTCAAATGTTATCTGTCCTAATTTCAGGAAAACAGCTCCCAATGACGGTTTTTAGTAGTAAAACCCAGAGCGTACGAAGTGTCACAATAGAACCGAGCGATTCGTGGGGCGGACAAGGTCTTTTAGGCGTCAGTATCCGTTTTTGTTCGTTTGAGGGGGCTAATGAGAACGTATGGCATGTTTTGGAAGTAAATCCCGATTCACCAGCCGACCTCGCAGGGCTACGGTCATTTACCGATTACATAATAGGGGCCGATTCAGTTTTACATGAAAGTGAGGATTTATTTGCGTTGATTGAAAGTCACGAGGGGCGCAGTCTCAAGTTATATGTTTATAACTCTATTGATGACTCATGTAGGGAAATTACAATAACCCCCAACTCAAATTGGGGAGGGGAAGGGTCACTAGGTTGTGGAATTGGTTACGGATATTTGCATCGAATTCCAGTACGCGGAAACCCCCCAGCACCCACACAAGCCACTTTCAAGCCTCCGCCGGCTACAAGCTTTAATCCTCCACCTTTAACACCAGTGTCCGCATTCAACCCTCCTCCTGTATCAAGTTTTAACCCTCCACCTCCAACTCCGGTGTCTGCATTTAATCCCCCTCCTGTATCAACTGTAAATCCCCCAACTCCAATTCCTGTGTCGACTATAAACCCTCCAACCCCAGTGCCATCTTCACTATTCAATGATCAAGCTCCGAAAATGACTGAATCAGAGCCAGTATTGCCAACCATGGTCGAAATGCCATCTAGTTTCACTATCGGGGGGAATTACCCGATTCCTCCAAGTACCGGGGGTACTTATCTAGTGTCTTCACCCCAAATTAATCAAACAGCAACAGTAGATACTATTCCAGGTTTACCAACCTATACAGGGGTAGCAACACCGTTTCAACCCCCCACTAACCTCACAACAACCCCAAGTTTAGCCGCGTTTAGTTACCCCCAAGTGAGTTTATCTCAAGTACCGATACAAAGTCAATCACACTACCCACAAGTCGTCATGCCTCCCACAACTGGGGTACAAAATTTCCCACAAACGTCACAACCACTGATTTTTGATCCCACAATAGCCGCAAGGTCTGCGCAGCAATTACTGAGTGGGAGTAATAATTCTGTTAGTTAGATTTTAAATCATTTTTTGTTATAATTTATATTATTGTAATAAAAGGTATATTTTAAAGAAATGTTTTGTTTTTGTGCAATTTTAGGTAAACTAAATTTTATTGTATTTTGAAGACGTGAACGTGTACATAAAGACTTTTAATAAAAATTAATACAGAAATTGACGTTTTATAAAAAAAAACCTGAAGAATTTACCTGTTCAGGACTCGTATTGGTAATTCTAATTATCCATACTTGTTAAGGCATGCGTGGAGAATATATGTATTTATTTACTTTGTGTGGGTAAAAGCCGGGTAAAAGTGTATGAAAAATGTGTCGCATATTAAATTACCTGAAACAAAGAAAAGTTTACAAAAAACACTAATAATTTTAAAACTTATTTAGAACCATTGTATTCCAAGAGTAAATAGGCGACCATCAACAATACGCACATTTTTTCTTGTTTGAAACTTAAAACCATAAAATGTACTACATTATTTAGTTTTATCCGCAAACGTCACAAAAGTGACCACTTTTATGACTAAATGACACAGGTAAAAGCTTTACTTTTCAGACATGGAGTAAAAACACTGTTTTTACGCCTAGGCGTTTTCACTTTTACTTGACACTTACTTTGACATTTACCACTGTTGTCTCTTTCGCCTTTTCAGCATTTTCTGGAGAGGTACAAGGTAGATTATCAGCATTCGACATTTTGCACTATAAACTACACCAGTTATTCACCAGTTAAATCAGTCAACACTTTAGAAATCTCAACACAAATTCCGAAACTGACGCGTGACGTTTGTTATGATTAGCGTCCTGATTATTGAGGTGATTTACTTGATTATTGGTGTGTTGCTCTTTTCTCTCCATCTGAATCGTTTGCAGATAAAATAGTATATGTTATTTGGAGTAAAAGTGAATTTATGTGGCTCGGCTGAATCCATTTGCCTCACTCCGTTCGGCAAAATGAACGTTCAGCTTCGCCACATAGGTAAACAATCACTTTTACTCCTAATAACATGATCTCCTATTATTATTAAAAATTGCTTTCAATTTACAAATCTTAATTTTTATTGATTAGGCACTACAAATAATTATTTTCTCAATCGATAACATCTTATCTGATGTGCGGATTTGAGAAGATTTATTACTGAAATGGTACGGGTAATAATAATAATGATTTATCACCAGATTTATCATTGCGTCAATCATTCAAAGAAATAAAAATGTTGAGCAATCGAGTTACAAACATTTACAAAAATAATTTTCATTCAGTCAACACTAAAGTGGTAATTGTTGGTGTAAATAGGCACCAATTGTTTTTGCATGAGTAATTTATTATTTCTACAAAACAATATTTACTTGAGCGTTGCCCATTTGGGAGCAAAATTTTGATAAGAGATAATTTGTAAAAAAAATCTAACGATTTCCGTCTGAAACTCATTCAACTCCCAACAATGATCAAGAATCTATTTCGCCGCACAAATTCCACCAAAGAATATACGGAACAACGACGACCTGCGGTGACCCCCCAACACTTTGACTACGATGAAGACATCATTAAAACAATAACAAAACACCCCAAAACCAAAGAGTGAGTATCAAACCGATTTTGCTTCACCTCTGAACAATTTTTCCAGAGACGAGATGTTTATTTTGTCGGCAATAGAAAACAATGATTTCCTGTGCAGTCTCCTCCAAAATAAAAAACTGCAAGATGTGGTCGACTGCATGTACCCCGAGACTGTGAGCCCCAGTCAAACCATAATTAAAGAGGGTGACGACGGCTCGCACCTCTACGTCTCTGTCACGGGAACTTATGAAGTAATTCAAAGTGGAAAAGTCGTTAAAACATTCAGCGATGTCCGAGTTTTCGGCGAATTAGCCCTTTTGTACAACGCCAAAAGAACTGCAACTATAAAAGCTCGAACTTTTGGAAAAATCTGGATTCTAGACAGGGTCGTATTCAAGCATTTGATGGTCATTTCGGACATTGAGCAACGTCAGGAAAACGTTGATTTTTTGAAACAAGTCCCCAAGTTGAACAGTGTTCCTCTGGAAGTTTTAGAAGAAGTTGCGTCTTTACTAAAACTCAATTTTTTCTCCACTGGGACTAAAATCGTGGAAGAAGGAGAATTAAACCCTGACAAATTTTATATAATCAAAGCCGGTTCTGTGACCGTAAGTAAAAAAAACGAAGGTGCGATTGATAAACTCTACAAAGGTAGTTTTTTCGGAGAGTTGGCACTTCTGAAAGAAAAAGAGCGTAAAGCTACGGTCACAGCCGACCCACCAGGGACGGAATGTCTAATATTGGCCCGTCGCGAATTTATTGCCCATTTCGGAAATATCCCAGATTGTTTCAGCATAAACATCCAAACGCAGCCTTACAAACCGATGGAAGAGATAATCGAACATACTGACCTGAATTTGGCCGATTTCCATTTTATCAGTACTTTAGGAATCGGAGGTTTCGGTCGAGTCAAACTCGTGCAACACTTTACGAAAAAAGAATTAGTTTTTGCACTAAAATGCATGGAAAAGTACGTAATCGCGGCTGAAAAACACCAAGAACACGTCTTTAACGAAAAAAACATCCAAATCGTGTGCAAGAACAACTTTATTGTGCGACTTTACCGCACTTATCGAGATAAAAAATTCTTGTATTTTCTACTGGAGCCGTGCCTGGGGGGCGACTTGTGGACACACCTCCACAAACAAAAACCACGTTTGTTCGACGAAGTCCAAGCTAAATTTTATACTGCGTGTGTCGTTGAGGCCTTTAATTATCTCCACGAGCGGCTAATTATCTACCGGGACCTTAAACCTGAAAATTTGCTCATCGATGCTAAAGGATACGTAAAATTGACCGACTTTGGGTTCGCTAAGAAACTTAAAATGATTAAAAAATGTATCAAAAAGACTTACACTTTTGCGGGAACCCCCGAATACGTACCACCCGAAATCATACTTAATCAAGGCCATGACAAAGCTGTAGATTATTGGGCACTTGGAGTGTTTATTTTTGAGCTTTTGACTGGTAAAACCCCCTTCCGGACCGATGATATCACGTATATGAAGACATACAAGTTGATTTTGAAGGGGATTGATGATGTCGAGTTTCCGAAACATGTGTCGCAAGAAGCAGAGAAGTTGGTGAAAGAGTTGTGTAAGTCTACGCCGCCACAGAGGTTGGGTTGTGGGAGTGGAGGGATTTTGGATGTGAAACAGCATCAATGGTTTGAGGGCTTTGAGTGGGGGCGGTTTGAGGAATGTAAAATGCCGGCGCCTTTTAGACCCAATTTGAGGACGAATACAGACGTGCACTATTTTGAAAAGTTTGAGGAGAATGAGGAGGTGCCCCCCGATGTGGCATTAGATTGGGATAAAGAATTTTAGTTACTCAAAATGTGTTTTTCATTTTTTAATGAAATAATCCAATTTTTGCAATATGTATTATTTTTTTAGTTTACAATACAAATAATAGTAGTTTCTAAAATGTTCTCTTTTTGTTGGATAAGAAACAAAATTTTAAAATTACCATTTATTGGTTATAGCGAAAAAAATTGTCGACTAATTGAAGTGGTCGACTGTATTTTTCGTGTTTGTGCCCACGTGATTTACTGTCAAACGTCAAACTCGCGGTTACAAAGCAAAATATTTATTTGAGGTTATTTGACGATTTAAACTCAGTTAAAAGCGATGTCTGCGAGATACGACCGTGCTATTACCGTCTTTTCCCCCGACGGCCACCTCCTGCAAGTGGAATACGCTCAAGAGGCAGTCCGCAAAGGCTCCACTGCTGTAAGCGCCCCTAACCTCAACCCCCATGACCCAGCATTTGCTTTTTCAGGTCGGCGTCCGCGGGGCTAAAGCCGTAGTTCTCGGCGTGGAGAAGAAATCCGTCGCGAAACTCCAAGAAGAGCGCACCGTTCGCAAAATTTGCCTTTTGGACGATCATGTCGTTATGGCTTTTGCCGGCTTGACCGCCGATGCTCGCATTCTTATAAACCGGGCCCAGATCGAGTGCCAATCGCACAAATTGACAGTTGAAGACCCCGTCACGCTGGAATACATCACTAGGTATATCGCGGGGCTGAAGCAAAAATACACGCAGAGTAACGGGAGAAGGCCGTTTGGTATCTCGTGTCTGATCGGGGGGTTCGATTACGATGGAAAGCCCCATTTGTATCAGACTGAACCGTCAGGGATTTACTACGAGTGGAAGGCGAACGCCACGGGGCGGAGCGCCAAAACGGTTAGGGAATTTTTGGAGAAGTATTACACCCCAGAAGAGGTCGCCGAAGAGAGAGGGACGGTTAAGTTGGCCATTAGGGCGCTGTTGGAGGTGGTACAGTCGGGACAGAAGAATTTGGAAATTGCGGTTATGAGACATGGGGAGCCGTTGGTGATGTTGGATAGTGACACAATTGAAAAGTATGTAACTGAAATTGAAAAGGAGAAAGAGGAAGAGGCCGAGAAGAAAAAGCAGAAAAAATAGACTTTTTTAATTACTTATTGTGGTTCATAACTTTTTCAATAAATTTTTTTCGCTAAATTGAATTTGTTCATCCGACAAATCATGACGCATTGTGATTATTTAATTATTTCTGAGTGGAGTAGGTGGGTCGAAAAACTGTTAAAATGTGGGGTGTTTTGAAATTCAAAGGAGACCCGTTAACCACAGGTAGAAAAAAAAACAAATAGATAACATTTTTATTTACAACTTTTCTGCACTTCTGAGTAAAAATTAAAAATTATTTAGAGGCTTAAAACTCACAGTAATAGAAAGAAAGATTTTGTGGGATGGTTCCCTAAGTCAAAAGAAGAGAAAAATTGTTATGGACATGTCTGGAAATAGTTCCTGAGGGAGCTAGAGCCCTCTCTCAGTAACCGATGGACATAAATTAACAAAGGACTCCATCTGGAGTATTTTTTTATTGCTGAATCTATTGGTGATATCAAAAATTGTTTACCCCAATAAGGAGGCGGAGGCACTGGAGTCAATCTATTTAAAGCGTAAAATTTTGCTTTGGAAGAAGTCTGTTGAAATTATTTCAACAGATTCGGATTTATTGGTTATTTTTTTCAAAAAAATGTCTTGTGTTATTTTTTACCACGTACCGTTTTCGAGAAAATTTTTTTCTGAACCGTGCACCGACCTTAATTCTGAAAAGCAACCTACGGCACAGTGATTTTTTTCATATAAGGTCGATTTGTCGCTCTAGCTCTCTTAAGAAACACTTCCGGACATGGGTCCATGTAAACTTTGTTTCCTATTTAGATCTAGAGAACCACCCCCTGAAATATTTATTTCAACGTTTTTTTCTGACACTCAGCATATTGATTTTGAGACATCAGCATCTCTCAAGGGAGAAAAAGTCGCTCTTCGCTTAGCACCGTGATTCAATGTAAAATTACCTGCTAAACATGTCTAAACATCACCTTGACTCATTTGATTGAAATTGGGTGGACTTCAGAAACTACATAAACCCAAACTTTGAACCTTTCTCACTCAAGCATCGAAAGAGCCTACAGCATAATCTTGCCTGTGGTAACTAATAAGGTCAAGTTTAGACAAAATCGGGTATTTGACCGTTTTATATAATTATACACTGTGTCAGTTTTAAAACTATCAACTGAAAAAGTTATTGAGAATCCCTCAAAACCGTTTTGGTGGTTCCTAGGAGGAATCAAAATGACATGGTAATATGTGATGCACCTACACCCAGCTTTGAATATAATAAAAAAAAATGAAAGTTTAAGGCCTTCGTTTTTGAATAATTGAAAAATCGGCTTTACTAAATAGCCTGTTGTATGACATTTTTGAAAAGCGTTTGTTATAAACTTTCCAATGATGTATCACAAGTAGAGTTGTGCCATTTAAAATTTTCAACTTGTGGTAGCCGTGGCTTCAAGAGTGGGTGTAGGTACGTTACTTACCATGTCATTTTCATTCCCCCTAATAACCACCGAAACGGTTTTGAGTGATTCTTAATAACTTTTTCAGTTCAAGAGAGATATTGTCGATTGCAAGTTTTAAAATTGACATCATGTATAAGATCCTATATAGGATCAACTATAGCCTTCTTTGACTTTTCCCAGAATGTAAAATTTGAGGGAAGAGCGACAAAATGGAATTAATTTCTCTAGAACTTGCAGTGTCGTTGGTGAAAAATAAGGGTGGGCAATCTCTAGAAGTTTATTTTTAAATAAATCTTAAATAATCTTGTACAAAAAAGGTACATAAATCTTTCTACGAATTCCTTATGACAAAGAACTCATAAAACAAGAATCACTAGAATGCACTCAAATTCCATCTAAAACGAATGAAAAAATGACGAAAATGTTTGATGATAGAAACCGAATCGCGTCGTGTTGTTTATATGGTGCGATGTCATAAGAATATTTAAGTATACATATTTGAAACAATACACAAGTGCAAACACATAATATCATAATTATTACACAGCATTCAAGTTTTATTACATTTATAAGTTATAATAATTGGCACTGTCTCTCGAAACATCCATACGAAATCAGTCGTCCACGTGACTCCTATATACATAACTCTACAACATAAAACGTTCTAGTGAGCTGAAAAATTATCAAAAATGTCCAGTAATATATATCAATATGGCAACATGGTACGCAGGTGCTATATCAAAACGATGTGATCTGTGATTTACTCCTATATACACATCACGCTTGCACTCCGTTTCATCACTCGCACTGTGGTTCAACTAGACTAAAACCTGTAATTTGACCTAAAACGTAGTGACTGCCTACATGTACAGCTGCCCCGAATTATTCATCACAAACTCACCAAAAAAAACTACATTTTCTGGTAAAATTGTGTTAAATAATCGCGGAACTTCTTTCGTAGGAATACTGGCTCAACGATACATGACAATGGTAGGTATTAATGTGCTTTACAAATAAAACATATGCAACATTCCGGCGCCGCCGTCGAGACTCTCCGCCTCATCGAGAAAAGACGTTGAATCGAAACTATGGAAAAAATACGTGGCAGTGGTCACAAATAACTGAATTAGGCCCAGTTCGAACGAACCGTTCCGAGAGAAAAACCGCGGACAATCTCGCTGTCGACGCCCGTATAAATTCTCTACAATTATTTATATGATGCAGTGGAACTGCGACAGTCTTATTGGAACACGCAGGACACGTGACAAGCTTAGACGTCGAAGGAATGTGTATGTTCTTTGTCACTGGCATTACACTTATTCTTCTTCTTGTTCGGTTTCTTCACCGGGACCGTACATGTCTGCCAACTTGTCGAAACGGGGCCCCCAGGCCCCCAAGTAGTCGTACTCTTGTACTTCGTCGTCAGTACCTGAAAAGATGACATGAAATAATAACACTGTATCTTAATGTGATTCACCAATTTTTCCAGCCACGAAATATACACAAAAAAAGTTCCGTTCCATAAACTCCACGAAAACATATTTCTTTTTTCATAATTCATGACTTGTTTTGATTTCTCAATTGTATCGTTCCGGTCGACGATCGTTGAGAATAAATCAAACTGGGAAATGCGAAATTTACAGTTATCTCTGTCAGTTTGGTTAATTTCTTGTAATCGAATTCAAGTCCATCACGAATTCAACCTTTTACTTTTCCCCGGAAACCCAAACTCGAACATAATTTATGGAGAAAGTTGAGGACAATATTTCGGGCTTGTTGTTTAGCCGAAAAATTTATATCCGGTATAATTTTGCGACCACAACTAAACAACCACGACTAAAATAAACTCGAGGGAATGTTATCAAAACTTTGCACAGATACAGACTAAAAATACCAACTGATTTTCCAAGAGCGTGAACAGGTCAATTTTTTTTCAACATTTTATATTTCTTACCTGAAGCGAGCGAACTGAGCGATCCTGCCGTACTACCACCCCCCTCATACGCGTAATTCCTGAGATCATCGAATGGGGGCGCATTGGGGTCACTGTCGGCTCGCTTCTTGTGCTCCTCGATGAAGACTCCGACGTTGGGTTCCTGTCCGACGCCGATCACCGAAACTGCAAAAACCAACGTCAAGTCCAGAGTTTTTATCGCGGGAAAATAAACGATTTACAGCCTATTTTGGGCGGTGCCAATTCCGGAAGAGGTCCTCCGATCGGTATTTGGAGGGGCGTTATGTCGAAAGCAGTCATGTCGTCCTCACCGCCCCCTTCGTCGTCGTAATTGATAATGTTCTCGCGGACGTCATCGTCCGGTCCTGGATATTTRATGTGCGCCTCGCGACGTCTGTTGTACACCACGAATACCAACACTAAGACTGCAAAAGACGGGAGTTAAGCGACGAAACCGCAACCGACCAACATTTAAATCGATTCGAGTGCAGAAAATGCGACTAAGGTGCGTGAAAGATCACTTACCTAGAAGTGCCAACAGACAAACGATAACAGCAACGATAAAATCCTTGGAAGGCATGATAGCTCCGGATGGTGCGAGTTCGAGTTCGCAATGTCCTCCCGTGTAACCGGAAGGACAGGAACATTCGTACCGTTTCGGCGGTTCGTAATCTTTACAAATGCCGCCGTTAATGCACGGCAACCACAAACATTCGTTCTCGTTAACGCAACCGTTCTCGTGAAACTTGTAACCTTGTGGACATCTAAATACACAAATTTCTCCCATTAAATACTCACCGAATTGGTTGAGACACTGCTCTGGCACTGAGACAATTAGTCAAGAAGAGAAAAGAAACGGAAAAATAGAAAGAGTGACTAACTACAGCTACAAGCATGCTAAGAGTGTTAAACCCCTCACTCAAAATCATGAGCAAGCAGACTAAGATGGCGGCGAGAGCCCCCATGCTGAGTTTGAGTGTTTGTCCTTCTTGGATGAGTTCGCAGTTCTCGCCCCAGAAACCGTCGGGGCAATGACAGCGGTACCGGAACCTGGGTTCCAGATTGACGCAAGTACCGCCGTTCAAACAAGGAAGATCGACGCATTCGTCCTTGTCCATACAGTCCTTACTGTCGGCGGACATCACGCGGCCCTCGCCGCAGCTGTTGCGGACAAAAGTGTTACTCGCATGCGATTAATTACGATTCAAAAATTGCCAATTAATCAGGAGGCGATTTATTTACCGTCAGCGTGGCTTAGACGAAATAAAAATTAATTATAAAAGGGTTGAATAATCAACAACAAACCCAAGACATAAATTTATTAGCTAAACTCTACAGTATCTAGCAGAAATAAAATGTACAAAAACTACATAACAAAAGCAACATTTTAAGCATAAGCAAAGTAGAAGAAAATGCATAATTAGTAAAAGAAGTTAAAAGAGACTCAAAAACTAACAATAAAAAATACAACAAAAAAGCAAAATAATAAAAACACTACAAAAATAAAGTCAGTGGCAGGAGAAAAAGAGTTGTGTGCATCGTGAAAGTCAAGTGGATTCCAAAATTTGAGATGTGTCCACCCTGTGTACTTGGACAAAATTAAAAAAAATTACTACGTTTTGTCTTGTAACGCTGCTTTTACATATTCGGGTTTTCTTTCGTTTTATTATTAAAATAACAATGAAACGAAGCAAGTTCTAATACAAGTTTATTCAGAAACTTTGGACAAAACCCGCCCTTTATTATATAATTTCGTAACAACTTCGTGAGTTCAAACAAAACATAATAATTAAGTAATTATTTAACGTAAAAAACCGATTAAAGTTCAATTTGCAAAATATTAGTCAAATACACTTCGCAAAAGCACTCAAGAGAAGAAAAAAAAAGAGAAAGAACTCAGTGCCGTCGCAAAATAAAAAAATTCTTCGTACTTCTGAAGTTGTCATAATGCAAACGATCCTCGTTTAAAACTTTAAATTAACCACGAAACGACGCCGAAAACAACTTCTTAAGTACGTCGAGAAGGAAAAAACTTATCCTCGTTTAAAATCGAAACTAATTATCTCTTACGTGCATTCGTAGTCGTTCCATAAATCGACGCATTCGAAGGGTTCGGGGCAAATTACATTGGCGCAGGGTTTATTCGATGGACAATTGCGTTCTAAATTGCGGGCCATGGTGGCTTGACCCCACTGGGTCCCATTCATGGCGGGAGGAAGCGGGAGATGTTTACCCTCAAGACGGATGTCATCCAAACAACCTAAACAAACGATCGTGACCCGACCTGTACACGCTATTTTTCTATAACCTACCTTTCTGGTAGTCGGCGTAGACTTCAAAGGTGCGGACACCGGTGTATTCGGCTTTTCCGCCGGCGTAGACCCCTTCTTGTTTGTCGACGAGGAGCCACTGGTGGCCCACAAAGTCGAAAGTTTCGTTGTAGCGGCGGCCCTCACCGCCGTCAAGCTCAAGAGTGGCGGCAGAGCCATAGCGGCTGACTCGAGCGACGTGCCATTGACCGTCGTCGACAGTCACTGAGCTCAACCAAATATCCTTTTCTTCGGTTCGTAAGGAGTTGAGGTTGTACCTAAAGTAGAGTCTCGAATCCTTGATCTCCAAAATGCCGTATTCTCGGTTGTGCTGGTCTGAGACGCGGAACAACTCGCCGTGCTCTTCCCTCGTCCTGAACCTCAATTGTATCTGTGTCGAGAACCGATCTGGTTCAAAACTCAAAGCATACTTGACGTATGATTGGGGCTTAAAGGACGTTGGTATAGTCGGATGTAGACACGCCGGGCCTGTCCATCCCGGTTTACACTGACATTTCGCCTCGTTAAAGCTCCCCACACATGTGCCATGTTCCCAACACCGATGTGTGGCTTCTGATCTTCCACACACTTCCTCGGTCTGTGGACACCCAGCCACGCTATTCCGGGATAATCCCGGATGCGCCAAATCGTACAATTTTGAATTGTGGAACAAATTCCGGATACAACCATCGAAAGGTTTCCCTACAGGCATGTACTGCCAGTGATACTCGGTGGGGTCAAACTCCTCCACGTAGAACCCTCCAAGTTGGAGAGGAGCATTGACGTTGAGGTACTCATTGAAGGGCGGAATAGTACCCTGAGCCTGGCAACTGGTATCATCAAACTCCGGCGGCGTTCCGTCCTCCAATTCGTTAATTTCCGCCGATTTGCAATAATCGACAACCATTCGGACATTCTCGGTGTCCCAGAAGATATCGATTCGGTGCCACTCGCCGTCGTCCAGACTCTTTCTCGTCTTGACTCGTAACTCGAGAGTCCCCGAACCAAAATCGAGCAACAGTCTCGGGTAACCTCGTTCGAGCTCGACTGCGATGTAATCCGATACCATAACCTCGTCGGTTTCCGGCTTGACGATGGGTCCGTTGTAGAGAATCAAACCGTCGGTTTTACGCGTCGCAAATTCAAAATGGAGATGCGACTTGTCGCACATTTCCAATGGCGGGTACCACGCCCACCCTTTCCCTTTGAAACCCCGGGAGGTTTGTTGACATCGCGGCCCGTTGTAAGTCGCCGGACACGAACACGAAAGAGAATAGCGCGTTTCGATGCAACGGCCACCGTTATAACACGGGGTGTTTCTACAGTTTTCTTCTTTGGAGAAATTCCGGGCACCGCAGGTACATTCGGCGAGGACGTCGACTCTGACTCCCACCAAAGCAGTTTTATTGGCGTTCACCATGTAGGGCAAGGCACTTATATCAAGAGTGTTCGTACAAGAGCCTTCGCACATTTGGTTCTCATATAAACACTCGTCAATTCCTACCATGGTGATGTTAATCCCGACTTCTTTTTCGATGATTTCGCGGTGCATCAATACGATACCGTTGAGTCGCACTGGTTTGTAATATGGCGAGCCGTGAGCGGAAAACCGGACGTCCGTCAACGGGGGATGTTTGCGTCTTAATTGGACGCTAAATACGTCCACATTCTCCCGATCTGTGTTCAACAAATCGGCTATTTTATCCTTGAACTTATCCGCTTTGCTCCGTGATAAACTTTGAGTCTTGTAATCCCAAATCCGGATGAAATCTTCGTCTGTAATACCCGCGATTCGTACAGATCCTGAATTAACCACCGCCTCATGCGGTATCTCCTTTACCGTTACCGTAACGTTAGCGGCAACGTCCGTCTGAGTGTGTTTTCGGTCGTAAACCTTGAACCTGAGATGATATTTCCCCTCGCGCGTCCCGTGTCTCATCGAGATCATTCCCGTCTCCTCATTCAATTTGAAATTTCTGTGTTCCAGTGTTTCCCAATAGAATTTCTTATCGGGCAAGTCCCAGTCGTCCAAATCGTACACGTAAACCCTTCCGATCTCGGTTTCAGGCGCTTGTCCTTGGTAATTGTACACGAAGATCTCCTTGGAGCCGGGTTGCATTTTGTTATCGTTAACGTCACCGATGACGACGGTTAGAGTGCTGGTGCCGCTCATCGCAGGATTACCGTGATCCTTAATCACGATCGGGATGAGATACTCCTTCTGTTGTTCGCGGTCGAAAGAACGGAGAGACGAGACGATCGCCATGCCGTCGCCGTTCGCACCCTCTGAAATCAAATTAATATTCGCGAGTTAGAGCGGATGAGAGATGGCACGGGGGGTTTTATTAGAGAAGGCGGTAATTCGGTGTGTCACAAGACGGGAAATAAGTGGCAAGGAGGAGAACAGAAGGTGTCGAGAGGAACGTCTAATTGTAATTGCGAGACGTGTGGCAAAAATTAGAGGTGTGCGGCGCGGCAATGATATGTAATGTAATCTACATACAGGGTGTGACAACAAAGCTGTCTACAAAATAAAACATGAATAAAAAAGTTTTTCTTTCTAAAAGTATGAATTTTATTTTTGTTAGGAAAACTGAAAAGCAGAGTTTTTGAAAATAGAATTTTCTGTTTGCCAAAGAATAAATTTTAGCATTTGAAGTCTATAGAAAATAGTTTTATTCTTCGACACTGTCAAAATTTACGGGTTTTCTCCCGTGTAAGGAAGTTTTGACAACAGTTTGGCATTTCTCAATACGAAACGTCAGATTACTTTTAACAGATTTAAAGCAAGTTTAAGCCTTATTAAGTCTAATTCGAAGAATAAAATGTTGTATTCAACACGTTTGAGTGTAAATCGGATGCTTTATTCCACCTCGTGGATGATAATCCACTCGTTTCACTCGTGGTTTAATAACCCACTCCGTGAGATAATCCTTCCGATTTACACTCAAACTCGTCGAATAAATAACTATTTCGCATTTTCAATATAAGTTTTTCTCGCATTTCAAAAGTGTTTTTATCAAACAGCTCAAAGAGTCTCCGGATTGTTTCGGATTAGAGGAAATTGTTCAGAGTTTCGTTGTTCTTGCTCTTGCTTGAACACTTATATGACAACAGATTTCAAGACTTTAACTCATAATAATAATATTTTTCGGAGTAGTTTCAAAATGTTTCAAAGTTTCAAAATTCTTCTTTCTGAACCAAATCTCAAATGATCGGTTTATGCAACGGTCAACGTAAATTGCATTTTTTATGTCTCACCAATTGAAATAATACTGAGATTATTGTTTTGTTAATTACTCATTGAAACCTAATATAAAAATCAATGCTTTCACCTAAGTTTCGAAAAGATGCAAAATGCAGTCTGCGCAATGTTGGCGTATTGAACAAAGTTAAAAGGCGAATGAATACCTTGTAGAGGATAATTTAAAAAACTGTTGTGTATATTTTTAGTTACTTCAATGCTCTGAACTCGGAATACCTTAATTTTTAGACACACCCGTAACAAAAACGATGTCCCTAGCGGCGTTAAATAAAACAGTCTAGATTTAATAATAATTGATCCCGTCCCTACATTAAACTTGCTAACAACCCCAGAAGTTTCCCAAAAGCTTGTTTTCATTCTTATTAAATTTTTATAAAAGTTTATTAAAATTTAATTTGCACAGCCGCTACTTAGACCTCCAATAATTATTTTTCGCATCGGCTTGATATTTTCACGTTTCTTGTGTACGTCGTCATTATTCATCTTCGTGTTGAAAATTAACATTTTAATCAGAAAATAACAGTCATAACAAGAGCGAAAAGTTTAATTAAAACTCTCGTCTCCAATAACTGCTAATTAACCCCAACGTTCGTATACATTTTCAATCAAGGTTAACCTCCTTAAGTGAGTACAAATCTTTTCCTAATTAATTGAAACGTTATTTGTTATAAGAACGTCATTATCTTAAAGACATCGCAAAAATCAAACTTGACTGAACTTAAGCCCTAGGCTTGAATAGGGGTCTTAGATCCCTGAATACAGATCGTCATAATCGCCGAAAACACTCCCGGCTTTTGTGTGCGGAATCATCACGAAACGGCAAATGGGGCGAAAGGCCAAATGAATTGTCCTCGGCACTCCTCTTTTCGTTTTTATTCCCCCGTATCGATTCTCCTCCAAGGTGTATGCGTGTCTCCGAGACAAAAGGCGCGCTTTATTTCCATAAAGCCTCCCTTATCTTTCAAAAAAATGCAAGCGCATGCATGTTTACCTTTTCTTCGGTTTAAACGCCTCTTGTGAACGTTGTTTAGCAAATTTCGATGAATTGCCAACAACGCAACGCAAACAATCAACAATGTGTGTACGTGAAACAGTACCGTCTTGTTGTTTCTGGCTTTTCGATCAACATTCTGATTAATTCGTTCGGATTCGGTAAACACCGGTTGCCGGAATCCTGTTTACCGAGAACTGCTGCATCGCCGGAAAAAGAAACGACAACCGGAACAAACGACACGTTGCAATTTTTCAACACACGTGAAGGGAAAGGGAAAGAAAAGAAGTTAGGAATATGAAGCGTAATCAATCAGCAGTTGTCAGGATTATGAAGAAATATCCTGGAAAACGTGGAGGAACATCTGGAAATACACGAAATAATTGCAGCACGAGCGGAAGTAAGTTGTGATAGACAAACAAGACAAATATCTAACCTCGAAGCAAAAACACAATGCCTTGTTTTCTTTTTTTTTAAACCACTCTACAACATTTTTAAAATTCAATAGGACAAAAATTTTCGCCGACAATTGYTATAGAATTGAAAGAAATTTCAGTTTACGACCAATAATTTTTGCCACTTTCCCCGTTACGAGTCAAACATAAATACAAACTATTTTCAATAGCAAAAAATAATGCGAGGTTTCCAAAAATATTTAATTTATTTTGATTCAGTGCTTGTGGAGTTATGAAATAATTTTTTTATTTCCGTATTCATGTTCGTCGTTTTCAGTGTTTCCTAATGAAATAAAATGGTGTGAAATATTTCATTATGAAGTTTTTGGATTACGATCAATCAAGAATTATCCATAAAAAGTTGTATTTTGTAATTTAAAGAATTACTAAAATAGTAAAAAGTGCAAACACTTTCAGCCACCCCCTGTATAAAGTATACTCCCGTAATCTCAAACTTGCTCCCGAATTTAATCATCCCGAACATCACCATTACGCTTATTACCATTACGATGATTATTAACGACGTTTTCCTCACACCTACATCTCCAAAGTTCTCGCATTCCGCAACTCCCAATGGCCCTCATATAAAATTTTTACTCGTGTGTGAGATAATAGCCCCCAACCTCCATCAACACAAGTGCCCATCATAATCTATAATTTATCTCACCCTAACCCAAGCATAAATACTCACTCTGATCCTGCTCCACTTTAAACGAAGCCCTTATAATATCATCGGCACCTGGATCCAGCCTAAACTGGAACGGAGGGCCGTTACTCTTCGAGCGATCGTCATCATCGGTCGCTAGAATCTCTACGACTTTCCTTGGAGGCACATGTTCGGGGAGGACGGGGCGGTAGTCCCGCAGGAATGTCGGCGCGTTGTCGTTGATGTCCTGGACGATGACTGTGAGCGTCGCCGTTGCGGTCTTCGGAGGGATGCCGTCGTCGATGGCTAGGATTTTGACCTGGTGTCGGGGGGTGTCTTCCCGATCCAGAGAGCGCTGGATGCTCACCGTGCCGTCTTGGTTGATTGAGAATTGGCGTTTCCGGTCYGAAATCCGGTCGATGGCGTACGAGACTTTGCTTTTACCACCTTGATCCGGATCGGTGGCTTTGAACGTTTCGAGACTCTTCCCCACTTCAGCGTTCTCATACACGGAAACTTCGATATTGGGCCGCTCGAATTGGGGCTTGTTGTCGTTGATATCCCGGAGTTTGACCACGACCCATGAGTTAGCCACGTGGTACTTATCGTTGTCGTTATCTTCGCCCTTGTCGTTCACTTGGATCCGGAAACGGAAGCCATTGCTTTGGAGGAGGTCTTCATAATCGAGCGGCTGCACGATTTTTAGTGACCCGGTCCCGTCATTATTGCGCACCATCGTGAATTTATCAGCACCGTAACCACTATTTTCGAGCACTTTGTACTGGAATTTGTTGGTTTCGTCTTCGTCATGCACCGTTACCGTTAATATCGGCATTTCCGGTAACGTCGTACCGTCAGTCTCGTCAACTTCGGTAAACCATTCATCTTTAGTAAACTGCGGAGGCATGTCGTTGATGTCTTTAACACGTATCGACGCTGTCCCTGTCCCTTTCAACCCGCCACCGTCCATCGCGACCACTTGAATTGAATAATCCGGGGTCCTTTCTCGATCTAAACAACACACAGCTGTCTTGATCACGCCCGTCTCGGACTCGATCTCAAAAATCGGTGATCCGGTCTCTTCCTCAATCACGTTCTTTTCAATCGAGTAMACCAGACGGGCATTTGTGCCCTCGGAGGGGTCATCGTAGTCGACTGCAGTCATCGTCATGACTACCATGCCGGCCGTGCCGTTCTCGGTTACGTTCCCGAAGTAGACGCCCTGGGGGAAGGTAGGAGGATTGTCGTTGATGTCTTTGAGATTCACTTGGACGTCGGCGTAGCCTACGAGGCCTTCGCCCCCCTCGTCTTGGGCAAATACTGTGAAACGCCATTGGGGACGGCCGTTGGGCTGGTCTCGGTCCAAGGGCTGCAACGTTTTAATTAAGTGAATGCAATTCAAATGCGCCAATGTTAGAAATACGCGAAGTAAAATACAAAACGAAGCTTGTTTGTATGTCGCGAAATTCACAAAAGGCTGCTACATTCAAATAGCAAGTTTTTGTGCAAACGGTGAGGAACCAAATATTGTGTAACATTACACGAAGCGTGAGTTTCTAGCTAGTTATAGGAAATCCACGTGCGCGTCTATTTTTGCAAATTACATGTGAATTAAGCGTTGCAAAACTACAACTTTTTTCACTGAGGGTGATATTACTTAGAATAAAAATATCTGCCTATTTGTAAATTTAAAATGCATAGATAGGTATTATATAGGGTGTTTGTGGATTGCGAGCAAATATTTTAACCACTAAGAGAATTTGTTATGAAAATTCGAATTGAAGACCAAACAAATTCCGTATCCAAATTTTATTTTTGCAATTTCCCCCCTATGATTTTCACGAGCCATTCAGTGTATCTGTCCTTGTTGACATTGACCCATTAACATTGACACTGATCTACCCTGATGTAGCGATAATTTTTTTGTCTTTACGCTGTTTACGTTTCAAAGTTTTTTCTTATGAAAGATTGTAAACATCGTATTAAGACATAGGCGGGGACGAGTTTTCAGCCTCAATTTATTTTTAATTTTAACTCAGAAATGACGTGCTTTCGACAAAAGTTGGAATAACGAAAGTTGTCTCTTTTGACGAGTCCTATTAGTGGTTAAAATATTTGCTCGCAATTCTCAAACACCCTGTAGAGTTCCTATATTAGTTTCTATATTATTCAAATATAGCAACGCTAGGTAGCTATAACATTCAAGTATAACAAAGAAGTTTGAAAGGAATCGATTGCTTATTTTTTTAGTTACGTGTGCAAAATATCAAAAAGTATTTTGCTGTCATCTTCATAAAGTGTTGAAAAAATCAACATGGGTGCAAATTTGAAATTTTTGTAATTCTACGTTAAATTTCGCCTAATAAAATGTATGTAAGTATAAAGTGTCTTTAATTACTCATTATTTTTTATTTCAAATTCACTTAAAATACAAATTACGAAACGATTCAAGTTAATGCAAAAATATTTATTATAATCCTTTATCACTCGAGGAATATGTATTAAATCATCTCCAGCCAGGTCACGTTTTGCACGATGGTAAAATCAAAGAACTTTTAGTTATTCTCATTCAATCCAGATTTTTTTAATAGACAGTCAAGCTTTTATCATACTTCCAATTCGCATAAGGTAAGTTCACAAAGCAAACGTCTTTTAACCTTTTTTTACAGTCATTCCTACTTCTTGCTACATACGTGAGATGATACCAAGACTTGTTGGAATAAAAATTCAAATAAATTTTAATATGTACATAGATTTCCACGGTTTCAAAACACCTTATCCAAAGATTCTTTTCACATTTTATCACTTTTCTTTTTAAATCTGGGTCGAATAATGCCAGACAAAAATGTTTTTTCTACCCTTTTGCAGTATAAATTATAACCGTAACAAAAAAAGGTTTTTGGTCTTTTACTACCAAAGATTATGACCTGATATTGCTTCTAATTGCTTCTTTACCACTAATAAAATTGTAAAGCTTGTATCATTCTAAGAAATGATTTTTAACAACAGATCGCAATCGAGCCAATTTTCCTGTGTATTGTCTAGAAAGTTACTGTTTACTTAGACAAAAATTTCTAAGAATAAAATACCATCAATGAAAATCATTTTGTTTGGTTCATAGTTTTTGTTGTGCAACTGTTGCGTTCCCTCGCCGGCTCATTTTATTGCCCACCTCTTGAACTAACCTCCACTTCTTGCTTTTTTGTAAATTTATGATCGTGGCAAATAAAAACTGCCTCAGAGAGGCGTATAATGGCGTAAAGAGGGTCGGAAGGATTACAGATTTTAACGCGTCTCTTAAATCAAACCTCGGATGATAAAAGCCGAAGAACCGACGAGGGTAATAGAGATACGAGCGATGAAAAATCGCCGGATTAACTCCCTTTGTGTAATTTCAAACAAACCGTCAAAGTCGTCGCGGAAAAAGCCTTGAGCGTTCTAGAATTTCGACATTACCTTGAGTACGAAAATCTCTCCGGTGGTCCTGTTTATGTCAAATTTGCTGTTGGCCGGATTGTCCGGATCGATGCCTTGGCCCGTCAGGAAGTAGACAATGTTCTGGGGTCGATCTTTGTCGCCGTCCGTTGCCGTCACCTAAACACGTCAACCATAATTAGAAATGTTTAAAACCCGGAAATTCATGCAACACATGCAGCAAACAACACTTACCGGAAAAGTCCGGACTCGAATGCGTATAATGGCAATTTAGGGGTTATTTCATTCGCAAAAAAAGGATGAGTTCGAGGTTTGTTCGATAACATCTGGAAGATATATGCGAGACGTTTAATTTTTTTCGAGTCATTCGTTTAATGCAATAAACGAACGATAAAAATCAGATCGCTGCTCATTAAAGCAAGAGACCAAAATTAAGTTGACCGGACGGAAAATGAAGAATTTTGTGCTCCCGACAGTTGTGTCGAATTTCGGTTACTTGTCCAGAATTATAAAATATTTGTGAAAAAATGAAGCCAAGGAAATGAAATGTTCAAGAGAACATAAAGGGAAAGCGTTTCAAGATGAAAACTGGTGGTTATAAAGTAAGAATATTTTCGTTTCCTTGAATATATGTTGCAATAGAAATCTTAAAAGTCGCAAAAAACTAGAAATTGAATTGTCGAATCGCTCGATTCGATGGCGAGGATAAATTTTATCGAGGTTACAAAATAAATTTAAAAGCACTTTGTAATGTAGTAGTTTACTGGAGAAAGCTCTTCATCACTAAGGATTAAGTTAAAATTAAAATTTGTTATTTACAAAATCCCCAAACTTAATAAGGGAAGTTGTTATTATTGCAAAATATAATCTCGCGGTTGTTTAAAGTACTGGTGTAGAGGTCTTAGTATTTATTATTTGTAATAAAGGGGGCGAACCGTTCAAATATTTGTTCAATTAAATAAAAGTGGTGGATGCGCTGGTAGAAAATCCCACAATACAATTAAAAGCAACACTAAACTTTAATGAATTAAGAAATCAAAACTATTCCTTAAGTTTTCAAAACCTGAAATTGACCGAAGCTTCATTACAACTTAGAAAACACTTCTCTCAAATAAATAACTTCAAGTTTCTTGTATCAAAGATACTTAAAATACTTACTCACAAGTGGAACTGTTCAGAGGTAAAATATGTTCTTCCTAAAAGTGCTGCGCTGTACGTTTTTGTTTTATTTATTTTTCGAAATACTTTCAACACGCTTAAAATGTTTAATTTAAAACTAGTTGCACTGAGAGAAACCATGATGAATGTGCCCGGATTATTAATATTGCTCTAAATAAACAGAGTTTCAAAACTTCAATAGTTACTATCTTTATATCAAACTTCTTTTTAGTTCGAAATAAAATTAATTACTTATTAGGTTGTTTGTATTTGTTTACTGTTACAACTTAATTCAACTCTAATTTCAGTTTTTCTAAATAAAGCTTTTTGTAATTAAGTAGGATTGCAATAAAAACTCACTAATGCTGTTACAATTTTAATTTATCACCCTGTTACGTTTCCGGTCGTAATTTAGGCTCTTTACGAGTCATCATCAAAGATAAATCTTTAAATAATAAACCAAGTTCTAAATACCTCTTAAAACATAAATAAAAAAGTAGAGTTTATTAAAACGATTTCCAAATATTAGGTACAAGAAAAACATACTAAAAGTTTGTTACCAGTAAGCAATACTTTTTATGTTCTTGTCTTTTTCATAGAGAATCCAGACACGTAGCTGAAATGTTTCTTGTTTATCACAACAAATAACTTGCTGCCGTGTTAGCTCCATGTTTATGAAAGAAAAAAAAACAAGGATTTGTAAAATATCAACTTTTTTCCAGAACAATTTGCTGAAAATGTTTTTATTCTAAAAATAGCAAAACTTGATTTATTCTCCCGTTTTCACTTCCATTATGATATCCTTACGCAAAGCGTTTAACAAAGATCGTAGCATTTTAATATTTCCGGTAAAAAGTAAATTCCATCTCTGAACTCGGTAATATCAATTACCTATTACAAAAATGATTGCGAAGTAAACCGGAACAAAATTAATTATTTACGACTAGGCTGTATAAAACCCAATTCGTATCATTTGATGCGTTGAAGAAGAATTTCCAGCTCATCAACAGAAGAAGCGTCCAGTAAAAAATAATTGCCGACATAACTCGTCGAATTTATATCCCGGAAACAGTTGGCGCAACTCTCGATTTTTCTTTGTATGTTTTGAGGGTGGAAACTTAGCGTTTACATATAAAACACTTTGAATAATTCGGATAATTCCGTTCGTGAGTTGTGACATGCCCTAACCCAAAGCATATAGGAATAATAGCRGCATTTCCGTCGACTCCTCCTGTCATTTATTAACCTGCTTGCTGGAAGTCAGGCGTCACACAAGCACGCAAGAGGCTTAATAAATTCGGACCGAATTCGAGCGAAATTCCGCACATGCAAAGCGCCTGTAATATTGTGCACATAACAGAGCGGTTATTGTGCGGAGGCACCGATTTATTAAAGAAAGGCTAGAGTAATTAATCGGACCAATCAAAGACAGAGATGTTCCGGTTTCAATTATTATTCAACCCCGGGAGTAATTACTCCCGAACGAGTCTTATTCCTCCGAATAACAATCAGAGGCTTGCAGGCTTTTCATGTTATCTTTACTTATTGCGGTTTGGTCGCACTGTTCGATAAATATAATTGCAGCTGGCCGGTTATGAATCTTCCCACTTACATAAATCAAAACGAAAGAAAAGCATAAAACAACCGACGCGATAATTTCACGCCGACGAAAATTATGGAAGAACTGCCGCGAAAATCGCACGAATAAGCGGAAGCGAAATTTATGTGTGGCGGCTTTAAACGACACCAGGAATTATTAAAATTAGCGAAATTTCTAGAATTCCTACAAGACGTTTCCCGTGGGACGCGACGCAGACATGAAAAATACTTGAACTCTTGAGCGTATTCAGTAAACTTACAAAACGTTTTATCAAGAAAGATTGATTAAATTTTAGATACGACATCTGTATATTCAGTTTTTTTAAACCGTATGGGTCTGACACAACTTCTCAATGGTATTTTTAGTTTAGTGCAAATTTTTACAAGATCAGAAATTCATTAATTGTAATCAATTTATTACGTTTTTGGATAAGATTTGACTATGGAAATCTGACAGTTTCTACTAAAGGTAAAGTTAAATTTAAAAAATACAATCTAATTTTTAAAATACCAATTTATAATTTTTCCACAACCAAATCATTCAAAGATAACATTCTCCATAAATTTGTATATCCATTCCATATCTACAGTTGCAGTACATTGAAGACCTAAGTTTTCTTTTTGATAGTGCTTTGTTTTAATTGTTTTTTGCATAATTGATTTTCTTCAATTTTAGTTTGTAATGTAATAGGACTTGTTCTGAAGAATAATGCTTTCTTAGGAGTACAACATGAAAAAGATTATTGATTACCTACCATTACCAAAATTAAACTCTTGCTGTGACAAAATGTTTCTCCTCATAAATTCTTTCTTGCCTATTTGCACTAAGCATTGTTTTACAGTAATTTCTTCCCTTATCATAATTTAAATTACAAAAACGAACATCATAATCCTGATTTTATAACACTGGAAAAAAAATGAACAGTTTTTCCAACAAAATTATTCGGAGTCGCTCTATATCCACAAACATAGTGAGTAATCGTAATTGTATTCATGTTTCTCAAACCAAAAAAACTTAAAATACTTACATAAAAATGGAAACGTTAAAATATGTTTTCTCTAAAAGTGCTTTATTTTAAGTTTTCCGCTCGTTTAAAATATTTGGATTAAAATTAATTGCGCTTAGTGTGCAGCATTATTAAAAATGGTGGATGCGCCGGGATTATTACTGCTCTATAAAGATACTGTAATTAAAAAATTAAGTGAATATTTATTTATGTCTTTACTTGCTTTTCTTATTCCTGTTAAATATTTGAATATAATATGCACTGCTTTTATTGTTTTAGGAAATATATAAAAATGTTTCAATTTGTGATAATCTCTGAAAATATTTAAAATTATAAAACTTAAAATTCATAATATTTTCGCCAGAATTACGTTACTTTCCTAGTTCTCTGAGAGCTTTAAAACTTTAATTAAAAGCAACGTAGAAGAACCAATTTGAATCTCCATAAACCGTAAAGAGAACTCTCTCAGTGTAATAAGTCTGTCAAGTATTTATAAGAAAAAAATTGTTTGGCATCCTACTCGTAAATATACATTTTTCTCACTATAGCTTAATCTTTCATGGGTGTTCCCTGAAGTTGTTAAGTGCAAACATAAGTCAACGTACCAAAAACCCAACCTAATCGCTTCTGTCGCTTTCAACTGATAGAATTTAACAAAAACACAATACAAAGACAGCCTTCTGAATCCGAAATTCAAGTCTCTCGTACTCTCCATAAAGTAATTAACTCGAAACTTAAAGTCTCGCCCGGAAAGACCATCAAGACCGTGTTACGTAAACCGGAACGATGTTTAATTTTAGAGTTTAATTATAGCTGCCGAAAAAACCTCCCTCAAATTGTACACTCTGTATGCGTCTTCCCTCAAGTCATACGAGAATGTAAAACGAAATTTAAGACCCATAAAACCCTTTTAGTGATGTTAGGTCGTCATTCACCTTCGACGTAATATAAAGTCGAAGCTTTTAAATCGCAAGGTGGCGCCATCGGTTACTCTTTGCACCATGTTTCTTCGCAATAGAGCAAATAAACAGAGTCGATAGGGTCGGGTAATTATTGTTGACGTGGTTTGTCGAAGCGATAAAATTCCCCGGAAAAGGTTTCCGTTATTAAAATTACATCCGGGAATAAAGCCCGGAATATGGCAATTCCATTTATTATTTCTATACCCGTACGTATGGATATTGGCTTTCGCCAAAAAGTATAAAACTAAATAACGCTCCCGCAAGAACAAAGGAAATAAAACCCGAGAAAAAGGCAGCACCTCGCCGTAATTTAAGCGAAGTTTTCAAACTCGCCGGACCTATCCGATTTAATGCCGGCGTCATATTTCGGCACTTGGGGCTATTGTTATTCAGATGGAGGGCGACGTTACGTAAAAAACCCTCAAGTCGTTTA